GGGACACGATGTTGCTTAGGCCCCTCTGAAGGTTACTTTGCCCTGTTTCAACATCCCAAAGGTCCCAGGAATATGACATTCGAGGCTGTCCTTATGGGGTGGCAGTGATGGCTCCATTTTAAAGTGGCTCCATGTACATTCTCTTCTAAAAGTTGCACTGGTTTCTCTCACAGCGCCGTGACTCCCCTCAAGTCCTGGCAACAACTCATCTGTTGTGTTTCTACACTTTTGTCAATTCAAGTATTTCCTGCAACTAGAATCACAAGGTATGCAACCTTTCAGGGTTGGCTTTTTTCATTCAGCATAACGCCCTGGAGATTCACCCAAGTTGCAGTGTGTTCCTTTTATAAATGGTCTGTTCCTTTTATTGCCAAATAGTATCCCATGGTGGGACATCTGCATTGCTTTCAGTTTGAGGCCATTATGAACAAAGCTGCTATGAACACTTATACACAGACTTTTGTGTATTTTTTAATATATTTTATTGATTATGCTATTACAGCTGTCCCATTTTCCCCCTTCACTCCCCTCCACCCTGCACACCCCCTCCCACCCACATTTCCCCCCTTAGCTCATGTCCATATGTCATACTTATAAGTTCTTTGCCTTCTACATTTCCCATACTATTCTTGCCCTCCCCCTGTCTATTTTCTACCTACCATCTATGGTAGGTACTTATTCTCTGTACCTTTTCCCCCTCTCTCCTCCTTCCACTGCCCTGTTGATAACCCTCCATGTGATCTCCATTTCTGTGGTTCTGTTCCTGTTCTACTTGTTTTCTTAGTTTGTTTTTGTTTTAGGTAAAGTTGTTAATAGTTGTGAGTTTGCTGTCATTTTACTATACATGTTCTTTACCTTCTTTTTCTTAGATAAATCCCTTTAACATTAGGGCTTGGTGATGATGAACTCCTTGAACTTGACCTTATCTGAGAAGCACTTTATCTGCCCTTCCATTCTAAATGAAAGCTTTGCTGGATAGAGCAATCTTGGATGTAGGTCCTTGCCTTTCATGACTTGGAATACTTCTTTCCAGCCCCTTCTTGCCTGCAAGGTCTCTTTTGAGAAATCAGCTGACAGTCTAGTCTGATGGGAATTCCTTTGTAGGTTACTGTCTCCTTATCTCTTGCTGCTTCTAGGATTCTCTCCTTCATTTTTACCTTGGCTAATGTAATTATGATGTGCCTTGGTGTGTTCCTCCTTGGGTCCCACTTCTTTGAGACTCTCTGAGCTTCCTGGACTTCCTGGAAGTCTATTTCCTTTGCCACATTGGGGAAGTTCTCCTTTATTATTTGTTCAAATAAGTTTTCCACTTGTTGCTCTTCCTCTTCTCCTTCTGGTACCCCTATAAATTCAGATGTTGGAACATTTAAAGATGTCCTGGAGGTTCCTAAGCCTCTCCTCATTTTTTTTAATTCTTGCTTCTTTATTCTTTGACTGGATGTTTCTTCCTTCCTTCTGGTCCACACCATTGATTTGAGTCCTGGTTTCCTTTCCATCACTATTGGTTCCCTGTTCATTTTCCTTTATTTCACTTATCATAGCCTTCATTTTTTCATCTAATTTGTGACCAAATTCAACCAATTCTATGAGAATCCTGATCACCAGTGCTTTGAACTGTGCATCTGATAGGCTGGCTATCTCTTCATCTCGTAGTTGTATTATTTCTGGAGCTTTGATCTGTTCTTTCATTTTGGCCATTTTTTTTTGTCTTGACACACCTGTTATGTAGTGAGAGGTGGAGCCTTAGGTGTTTACCTGGGCAGGGCAACCCATGTTGCTGTGTTGTGATGCTATATGTGGGAAAGGGATCTGAGAGGGAACAATGGTGCTTGCTCTGCTCTCTGCCAGATTTCAGTCACTTCCACTGCTTCCCCCAAGCAAACTGGGCCATTCTGGTGCTGATTTCCATGTGGTTGGGTTTGTGTATATTCTAGGACCCTGTGGGTCTCTCCAACAAACTTTCCTGTGAGGCTAGGAGTTTATCCTGCTGACTCAACACCCACAGGTGTTTTCAGTCAGAGGCTTTGAGGCTTTATTTCCCCACGCTGGGACCCTGGGTTGTGAAGTCCATCCTGCTCCCCCTGTGTTTCTCTTGGTTTATCTGCGTGCAAATGTGGGATCAACAAGTCCTCCAGCCGCTGCCTTGCCTCAAGTCCTCTCCACCCTGGCTGCCTGACTCCACCCCTCCTACCCATCTGGATGAAAATGACTTCTTTAACTCCTTGGTTGTTGGACTTCCATACAGTTCGATTTTCTGTCAGTTCTGGTTGTTTTTTGTTTTTAAATTGTTGTTGTCCTTCTTTTGGTTATGGGAGGAGGCACAGTGTGTCTACCTATACCTCCCTCTTGGCCGGAAGTCCTTTTGTGTATTCATTAGGATTGCTGTCTCTGGGATAGATGCTGAGTCATATAGTAAACACAAGTCTAGCTTTGTAAGGACTGACATCTCTTTCCCAGAATGGCTGGATAATATATTGTCCCCATTAGCAACACATGAGCGATCCCAGTTCTCTGTACCTTTGAGAGCACTTGGTGTTGTCACTATTTTTTTTATTTTAGCCATTCTGACAAATGTGCAATGATATCTCACTGTGGTTTTAATTAGAATAGTCCTAATGGCTATTAATAATAAACATTTTTTCATCTTTAAGTATAACATTTTCAATGCATCCTATATTTTGCCTATTTTCTAAGTGGCTTTTCTTGATGAGTTAGAGATTTCCTTGTATATTCTAGATATGTCTTTGTCAGACATGTATGTGGTTGAGAAATATTTCCCTAGCTGGTATATTGAATTTTCATCATTTTAACAAAAATCACACAGCAATGATTTTAAATTTTGATGAAATCTGATTTACCATTTTTTCCTTTTATGGATCATGCATTCAGTGTCATATTTAAAATCCCTTTACCAAGCTGTAGAAATTTTATTCCATGTTGTTTTTTAAAAGTTTTATTGTTTTACACTTTACATTTAACTCCATGATCCATTTGGAGTTCATTTTTACCCAAAGTTAAAGGTTTAGGTCAAGGTCTATTTATTTAATCTCTGAATGTCCAATTGCTCCAGCATTGCTTGTTGAAAAGAGCTTCTTCAACTTCAAGTCTGTATTTATGCATCCAAAACAAGCAAGCAAACAAACCTGGTGACCTCACTGCCATATTGTTCTTGGGTCCTGAGGTCTCCAACTGGCCTGCCTTCTCTACTTGGAGTCTTATGTCTTTTTATATACAATGTGCTCAGTTTTCAGTTGGAAAATTAGGTCATTATTTATAAAAGTGGCATTCAACATACAAGGGGGCTCAGAGAGTCCCAAACAAGTTGGATCCAAAGAGGCCTATACCAAGATACATCATAATTAAAATGCCAAAGGTTAAAGACAGAGAATCTTAAAAGCAGCAAGAGAAAAGCATCTAGTTACCTACAGGGGAGCTCCCTGTAGGGACTGGCAAGAAATATTCAAAGTAATGAAAAGCAAGGATCTACAACCAAGATTACTCTACCAGCAAAGCTATCCTTTAGAATTAAAGGGCAGATAAACAGCTTCCCAGACAAGAAAAAGCTAATGGAGTTCATCCTTACCAAACCAGTGTTACATAAAATGTTAAAGGGTCTTCTTTAAAAAGAAGAAAAAGAAAAGATCATAAATTTGAACAATAAAATGGCAATAAATATGTATTTATCAACAATTGAATCTAAAAAACAAAACAAACCAGCAGAACCAAAACAGACTCATAGATACAGAAAACAGTTTGATGGTTACCAAATGGGAGGGGGAATGGGAGAATGGGTGGAAAAGGTGAAGAAGAAGTACAAATTGGTTGTTACAAAATAGTCACAGGGATATAAAGTACAACATGGAGAATATAATCAAAATATTGTAATAACTATGTGTCAGATGGGTGCTAGATTTATTGAGATGATCACTTAGTAAGTTATACAAATGTCAATCACTAGGGTGTAAACCTGCAACTAATACAATAGTGTATGTCAACTTTAATTGAAAAATAAAATGATTTTTTAAAAAGTAGTTACATTGTGGGGTCTTTGTATCTATTTAGATAGTCCTCTGGGTCACTAATGGGGCAAGCTTGGAATCCATCTTGGTTCTAGTGCCCAGAAGTTTTTTTTCTATTTCAAGCATAGATTTGTGTTTAATACATTTTGTCTGCAGGTCAAGGTTTCTATACCAGGGAGGTAGTCTGCTGTAGCTCATTTCATGAAGATGCAAAAACCAATATCTAGATCCAAGTTACTTCGAGTGCTGGCTCCAGACAGGTTAAAGAGTTTGCACCCAAATATAAGTCATACACTGCTTCCTTTACCAAGAAAGCCTTACCATGAAGAGAAGTCAGCTTACCTACAAAACACACAAGACTGTAAATCAGTGATGTCATTGATTTACATTTTTGCACAAGCCCCTTCCATCAACAGGCCACACTCTGGGTAACCGAGGTCTGGTCAGCTCATTTGACAGAGGAAGTAGTATTTCCACCTAAGTAATTAATTCCATGTGGTTCAAAGTTGCCCCATGTGTAGAGAAGCAATTATCAGTATTTATTGATGATTTAATGCTATGTGAAGTGTGGTAGATTAAATGTTCCTGGGGTAAAGTAAGTCCCAGATGATTTCTTATAACTGAAGGCAAACATGCATTCTCTACATGCTGGTTCTGCCTCTGGGTGTTGGCTCCACTGACTCTAAAGCCTTCCTTCATGTGGTTTTCAGCCTCCTCTCCAACCACAGCTGGCATTTCCACCTTTAGACTTGGGGTAAGTTGATTCCATTTTCCATTCATTATGGAATCAGATCAAATCATTTGGCAAAGAGATTTTTAAATTCATAAAGCAATTTAATTTATCTTTTGTAGTTTAGGTAAATAAGTAAAAAGATCTCTGGGCACCCTTTTTTAAAATTAAAGAAAGAAAACAATTTAAATAAATACAACCAGGTACAATAAACATGAATTATTTTATTAAAAAATATCACTCTTACAAAATTAAAAATAAATAAGTTGCTGCCACAAAATTGCAGCATAATATATAGTGAAGTCATTCCATTCTGGTCAGTTAAGAAAGAGATGACAGGATGAACAGAACAAAGTAGGGGAACAAACATGAGGGGGAGCAATTTGAAGACAGTAAAAAGAGGAAGAAGAAGATGGACAAAGTGCTTTAGTGAATGAGTTAGTTACACGAGGTTGGCAAGAGGAGCCAGCCCATCCTCTAAGTGCTGTGCCAAGAGCCACACCATGGGGACAGTTTTGTTGCTCTTGAGACCTAGCCTGGGGTAAGGAGCTACTCCCAGTCTCTCTCAAAGGCACTGGTGGCAAGCTCACCCTCCCACATGACTGAGGACTGCAGAGTGCCGGCCTTCTTCCAGGCAGGGCCAGCCAAAGGCCCACTCCCTCACACCCATGCACCTGGGGCTGGCTGGGCTTGGTCACTGGGGTCTGGCAGTCCCACTGCCAGCACTACTGAGGAGACTCGAAGACAATGGTCAACTCGGGCTTTTCTTCTTGAAGTGTTTCTAATGCGCAGATTGTCTCATAATTGAAATACATTTTACACAACCTATAAAAGCAAACAGAGAGCCTGGAGTTACACTCTTCAAATGAACACTCTTGGAGCTTTGGCCTTAAACTTCTCAGCTCACTTCCCTCATTCTTTCTCACTTCTCAGCACTCCAGTACTGCACTGCACTTCCTACCTAAAATGGCTTGTGTTCTGTTTGAACCTTCAAGTCTGAAAATGTTTCAACATATGCAATCATAGAGAGAATAGGGTGATGAATCCCCTATGCCTGTTATGCAGGTCTGACAATTAACAGTCAATCCTGTTTCAATTAAATACAACATGTCACCTATAAATAGTTCATGGAATGACACAAAATGAAGAAGACTTTTTAAACATAACCACAATGCCATTATCACAGCTTAAAAAGTTAACAGTAATTCTTTAATATCAACATATGTCCAATAGGTTTAAAGTTCTTCAACTGTCTGGTCATTTTTTATATCATGTTCATTTATCAGGAGCCATATAAAGTTCACAGGTTGAAATTGCTTGTTATGCCTCTCAAGTCTTCTTAATCATAAATTTTTTCTCCCTCTCTTTTTTAAACTTTTCCTTGCCACTTAACTGAGAAATCATGCTATTTGTCCTGCCTCATTTCTAACAATTGTGATCTGATTTTGTTGTGGTTTGAAAGTTTATGTTCCTCCAAAATTCCTATGTTGAAACCCTAAAAATATGCTGGTATTTGGAGATGAGCCTTCAGGAGGTGATTAGGGTTAGAGAGGTCACTGGGTCAGTCCTCACAATGGGATTAGTGTTCCTCTAGAAGGTGATACCAGTGTTCTCAGTCTCTCTGCCACATGAGGACACACCACAAGGGCACCCGCTGCCAGCTCAGAAGAGAGCTTTCCCCAGAAACCAAGCAGGCAGACCCATCTGGGGACTGTCCTCCTTCCAGAACTGTGAGAAATGAAGGTCTGTTGTTCAAGGCACCCCATCTGTGCTATTTTTTGTGGCAGTGAAGGTGGCAGGACAGGCTGACGGCATCTGTGGATGCCCCAGCCTATCTGGAGCCTACCCCTTATCCCCGGAGTGACCTTGAGGGCTGGGTCAGTGACCCCATGCAGCAACAGCCTGGTTCATCCTGATCAATCCCTCCCTTTGTTCCTCCAGTTCTCTTAGCTCTGAGGCATTTGGCTTTTCCTGTAGCCAATGTGCTCCACTGTGTTGGCCCAAGGATGCAATGCTGAATCCAATTTCTGTTCAAACATACATTCCAGTCAGTTCTGGCCTTGAGGTCATGGACAAGGACAGAGGTCCCTGGGTTAATAGAATTTATATTCCTGAGGTAGCACATAGATGACAAATAAATAAGAAAATGGCCTAGCACACACAACGGTGGTCAACACTGGGGAGAAACAAAAAGGGAAGAAGAACATGTGCCGGCCTGCTGTTCTCAACAGGATGGCAGGAAACATTTGCTCTGAGGAAGATCATTTGGCAGATCAGTGAGGGGGTGCAGGAATGAGGCACATGGATATCCCAAGGGGAGAGTTCCAGGCAGAGGGAGCAGCAGGCAGAAGTTGAGGGAGGACATGTCTGTGTGATAGTGTAAGGAGGCCAGTGTGCAAGCACCAGAAGGGGCAGGGCCAGAAAAGAACAAACTTGCAGAAACAGCGTGGTTAGGTCACATGGGGCCTTTGGCACTCTCTGTGACTATGACAGGAAGTACCTGGTACATGTTGTCAGAGAGGACTCCTATTTCAGATGCACACTCCCTCTTCTATGGCAAGAAAATAGATGCAGAGGAGTCTGGCAGAAGCCAGCATGACAATCCAGACAAAGGGGATGGCAGCCTGAGCTGGGGTGAGAACCACAAAACTGGCAAAGGTGGTCAACAGGGACTTCTGGCCAAGATGGAGGTGTAGGTAGACACAATGTGCCTCCTTGCACAACCAAAAGAAGGACAACAACAATTTAGAAACAAAACAAAAAACCAGTACTGACAGAATTGAACTGTCTGGAAGTCTGACAATAAAGAAGTTAAAGAAGAAACATTCATCCAGACTGGTAGGAAGGGTGGATTCAGGCACCAGGGCAGAGAGGACTTGTGGCAAGGCAACGGGTGGTGGACCCAGGTGCGCAGGCGGCAGCAGGCAGACCCAGTGAGGCGGCAGATTGTGTATAGGCATGGTGCACAAGGCGGCTGGTGGACCAGGCAGTCCCACATTTGTGCGCAGATAAACCAGACAAAACTAGGGAGCAAGACAGACTGCGCAACCCAGAGTCCCAGCTAAGGGAAATAAAGCCTCAAAACATCAATTGAAAACACCTGTGGGGAGGCTGCAATGCCGGGAGAAACTCCCAGACTCACAGGAGAGTTCATTGGAGAGACCCACAAGGTCCTAGAACATACACAAGCCCACCCACATGGAAATCAGCACCAGAACAGCCAGTTTGCTTGGGGGAAGCAGAGGAAGTAACTGAAATCCAGCAGAGAGCAGAGCAAGTGCCATTATTCCCTCTCAGACCCCTTTCCCACATACAGTGTCACAACCCAGCAACTGGGTTGCCCCACCCAGGTAAACACCTAAGGTTCCGCCTCTCACTATGTAACAGGTGCGTCAAGACAAAAAATGGCCCAAACAAAAGAACAGATAAAAGCTCCAGAAATAACACAACTAAGTGACAAAGAGGTAGCCAACCTATCAGATGCACAGTTCAAAGCACTGGTGATCAGGATGCTCACAGAATTGGTTGAATATGGTCACAAATTAGATGAAAAAATGAAGGCTATGATAAGTGAAATAAAGGAAAATGAACAGGGAACCAATAGTGATGGGAAGGAAACTGAGATTCAAATCAATGGTGTGGACCAGAAGGAAGGAAGAAACATCCAGTCAAAGAATGAAGAAACAAGAATTCAAAAAAATGAGGAGAGGCTTAGGAACCTCCAGGACATTTTTAAATCCTCCAACATCCAAATTATAGGGGTACCAGAAGGAGAAAAGGAAGAGCAACTCAAGGAGTTCATCATCACCAAGCCCTAATGTTAAAGGGATTTATTTAAGAAAAAGAAGGTAAAGAACATGTACAGTAAAATGACAGCAAACTCACAACTATCAACAACCATACCTAAAACAAAAACAAACTAAGAAAACAAGTAGAACAGGAACAGAACCACAGAAATGGAGATCACATGGAGGGTTATCAACAGGGCAGTGGAAGGAGGAGAGAGGGGGAAAAGATACAGAGAATAAGTAGCATAGATGGTAGGTAGAAAATAGACAGGGGGAGGGCAAGAATAGTATGGGAAATGTAGAAGGCAAAGAACTTATATGTATGACCCGTGGACATGAACTAAGGGGGGTGAATGTGGGTGGGAGAGGCTGTGCAGGGTGGATGGGAGTAAAGGGGGGAATGTGGGATAACTGTAACAGCATAATCAATAACCTGTATTAAAAAAAGAGGTGGTCAATGAGCAGGTCTGCTGTGGAAGCAGAGCACACAGAACATGCCTACAGAGTGGACAAGCAGAAGGGAAAGGGGCATCAAAGGTGGCACCACTCTTTTCTGGCATGAGAAGTTCAGATGGTTACCAGACTGAGACCAGGAAGAAGCAGTTTCAGACAGAGTGGAAGTGCCCAGGTTTGGATTTGAACAGGTAAGTCTGGGAGGCTTATCAGACACCCAAGTGGGCGGGGCAGATAAGCATTTGGGCCTGGTACTCATGGAGATGCAAACTGGGGGGTACAGCACATGTAGGGTAAAGCCAGAAGACTAGACAATATGTATGAAGGAGAAAATGTAGAAGGAAAATAAGACGATGGTTGAGTCCCAGGTAATTCAGCATGTAAATGTCAGGACAACAATAAGCAAAAGATGACTGAGCAGAAACAACCATGAAGTAGGAGGAAACACCAAGGACAGCATGTGGTCTCACCAGCCAAGAAGGAACCTAGTGCAGTGGGGGCATGGCCCTGGGAATGTGCATTGGGGAGTGTGGCCCAAGGTGCTGACTGACACTCACAGAAGCTCTTCCTACATCTCGAGGGGATCCCGGCACTGAAGGGAGCCAGTGGCCACCCCACACTGAGCTGGCTGAATGTGATGGAACTTCCCTCCTTGCTCTTTCTGAGGCACTCTCTTAACTTTAAGAAATCCTCATAAATAAGACCAACAACACCCTTCTACGCCAAGACCTTTGCAATCAGGATGAACTGCAGACAGGTCTAGGTCTGCCAAGTCCAAGCCCCTGCAGAGAACAACTTCATTTGGCTACTTTCACTGGGCCTTACATTTCTTTTAAGAATGTGAAAGGAAAGTCTTTTCATTCCAACTGACCCTTGAATATATATTCTCAGTGTCTAGATGAAGTAGAATATGTAGGTTCATAACTCCTCTACCGTTTTTATAAAATATCTGCAACAGCTAGCCCAGGCCCAACTTTCACCTGAGTATAAAAAAAACACCTGGGTTTTTGGTAAGTGGCCAGCTTTTCCTTGGAACTCAGAGCCCTGCCCCTCACACCCTGCAGGGAGCACTTACTGAAGGCTTTTCAGGAGGCAGCTCTGCTGTCTCAGCACTTTGCAGAACAGCATGACCCCGAGATCACCCAGGTCGTTGCTGCCCAGGCTTAGTTGTCGTAGGCTCTGGTTGAAGGTCAGTAGTGTGGAGAGATCCCAACAGCAGTGTGAGGAGAGGCTACAGTTGTCTAGTCTGCAAGAAAGAGAGCAATTCAAAGAAAACGTCTCCTTACCCTTCCCCAGGTCTCCCCAAGCTTAGCCTGTAATGTTTCAAATAAAAGTGCAGGATGAACAAGCACAGAGTAATTGTATGTGCCATTATTATTTTTTGCAGGTAAGAGTATTTTTTTTCCAGGCTACTGGATTATCCAGATTCAATTAGCAGTAGCAGTTTCTGAATTGATTTTTCCCAAATTTGGTGTCTCCCCCTAAATTTCCTTAGAGCACAAGATCCATACCACGTGCATTCTCTTGCAGTAGAGAGGTTGGTGGTAAGAGGAGCCCCAGCCCTCACCATCAGCCACCTGGAGGGAGAGCCCTCACCCCCAGTTCTGTGGTTTGGTCACAGGTCAAACATGGAAGACAGTATCACTTCTTAGGTACCGATGATCTCATCGGTACCTAAGAAGTGATACTTACCAACTCTGACCCCACCATCCTCCCATCACTGTGACAAGGTAAGGAACTTACTCCAACATCTGAAGCTTGCAGTTGGGGTGCAGGAGTCCCTTACACAGCAGCTTCACTCCTGTGTCTCCAAGAGCATTGCCTCGCAGGTAAAGGTGTGTGAGGTTCTGGTTAGCACTGAGCACCGAGGACAGAGCTGGACAACAACCGGATGTAAGGCCCACCTTCACCAGCCTGTAGAGGAAACAGGACCAGTCCTCAGGGTGCAGCCTTCCTTGGACACCACATGGATCTCTCACCATGGAGCCTCATCTTATTGGAAAAGCTGCATACTTCCTCAGAGAGTTCCAAGCCAGCCACACAGATAACCTGAGGAAGCATAAATCCCTGTCTCTGGCCCCACAAGACACAAGTGACAGTCTCAGCAGACACTGTGCTGGGGTCAGAAGAAGAGAGAGTGAAAGCAAACTCAGCCAGACACCTCCCAGTCCTCCCCTTCCTCACACAGAGGCCCACAGGCTGGGAATGCACCTCTCCACTGCTTCTTCCATCTCAGGTTGTCCCACAGAACTGCAGAGACCTGTCTTACTTGATTCTTACATCAGCCAGGCAAGGTGACCATGCAATAGTGAGTGTTGCATATTTTTTACAGATGAGAAATCTCAGGCTCATAAAATTGTGTGTTTCTCTTAAAGTCAAAGAGCAAGTGTGTGGTGGAGAGGGAGCCCAGATTTAAGCTTTCTAGGGTCACTGCTGCCTGCTGCTCACCTGTCCATAGCACACTGACTTTGCTATAAGCACCCCTGGAGGCACAAAGGCTTGGCTGTGCATTGCACTCTGTAGTGTTAAGATTTGGATGCACTACTTTTGGGTCAAGTGAGCTTATTTTCTCACCCAACAAGAGCATGAGGGCTCTGGAATAGAGAGATGCTATTCCTGCATAGCCCTCAGAGGGTGGGACACAATTACAGAAAGGCACATGTGTGAGGCCAGAGAACTTGGTTGAAGAACATCTTATACAATCACATTTATTCATACTAGAATTTTTAACAATCACATGTTGTTGAGCTCTAATGGGTCTGAAAATCAGGAAAAGTGGGAACACAGAAAGAAGTTGTTCAGGCTGTGGAACATGAACAGACTGCGTCAAGGAAGTGAAGTGCTGATCCACCCCCTGCTCTCCATCTTCCCCTAAGTCTGAGTGAAAAAGACAGAGTCAGCAGGATGAAAAAGGAAGTGGACCTAAGAGGGATGAGCAGAAACCAAGCAAGTCACAAGTGGCTTCTAGTAAGTTTTGTCTCCAGCTAAGAAGTTCACCACAGGGTCCTTAGTAAACACTCAGAAGGAATGTGCAGGATTACTAGCTGTTATAGACCTACTGTTTGTATTCCTCTAAAACCCATATGTGAAATTTGTAACTGCCAGTGTGATAACATTAGGAGGAGGGGTCTTTGGGAGGTTTGATCAGGTCTCCAGTATGGAGACCTCAAGGTAGGATTGGTGCCCTTCTAACCAAGACTCCAAGAGCTCCCTCACCCCACACTGGGAGAGAACTCAGTGCGAAAGTTACTGTGGGCCTGAAGAGCCCTCAGCTGGAACTGGGTCATGTGTCAGAACTGTGTTTCTGGCCTCCAGAACTGTGAAAAATAAATTTTCATTGTTTAAGCCACTCAGTGTATGGTAGCCTTGTTATGGCAGCTCGAACAGACTAAGAAACTGGCAAGATGGAGAACATCCCAGGAGACTAGAGACAGACATCAAAAAGGTAAGGAAAGAATATTTTGAAAGTTATAGAATGGCAAATATCACCACTATTTCCAGAAAAGGACTAGAAGGGATTTTAAAACAGATGTTTGAGGAACATAGTGAAGTGGCAGCAGTCACAAGCAGAAGAGAGGTTGTTAGGAATAACTCACATTTGAATGATCAAAATGTTGGTAATCACTGAAACTGAGGGAAGGGTACACAGCATGTAATGAACTGCTGAGAAAATCGAACAAGCAAGTCCTCCCAACCAATCCACTAGGGTCAGAGCATGGCAACCAACATTGTGTATCTTGGTTTCAACTGATCTACTCAACTTAGCACAGATATTGTCTCATGCACCATATTAAGTTAAAAAATTGTTTTTCTAAATTTTAATAATGATACATACTTTATGTCAGAAAAAAAGTCTCACAAAAAATTGAGGAAAATTTTACATTTGTTGAACATTTACTATGTACCTGGCATGATATGATGACTCTTAATAGGATCAACTCATTGAGTCATTACTAAACCAAGATACAGGTGCTGTTTTTATTTGTATTTTTAAGTGGAAAAAAAGACAGAGGTTGAAAAAAATTACTTCCTGACTGAGAAGAAGGAGCTTCCTAGCTGCAAGCTGGGGATGGGAGAGTAAAGGGACCCTCCAGGCCAAGGAAGATGGTACACAAGGGTGAGGCATGATGGAAGAGCAAGAAAGGCTCTTAGGACCAAAAATGAATTCATCACTACTCAGAGCAGAGTGGAGGGTGTGGTGGGCAAGAGAGCAGAGCAGCCCACTAGCAGTTGTCAGGGGCAGCCTTGCAAGCTCAGGTCAGACACATGCCACCAACTTTAGTCTGACTTCAGAGAAGAACTTTTGAAGAATTTTAAGCAAAGGCTCAAATTTATCAAATTTGCATTTGAAGGCTTCCTCTGGGGTGTTATGTAAAAGAAACATAAGAGGTAGAGGGAACCAAAAGTTTTTTGTTTCTCATTTTTTATTTATTAACTATAATTGTCCTCTTTTTACTGGCTAATATGCCTCCTGGATGTCTTGATATTCAACAAGGCAGGGCCTAAGAAGCAGGCAGGAACAGGACAAAGGGTGAGGTGGGGAGTGAGTTACAAAAGCTAAAGGATCCTGTAAATACTCAGTGTGAGACACTTGTATAATGGTGGGGTAAAGAGATAATGGCCTAAAGTTCAAGAAAAGAAAATTTGGAGTTTCAGCCAAGATGGAGGCATAGGTAGAAACCCTTCACTTCCTCAAACAACCGAAAGGAGGATAACAACCAATTTAAAATTAATAAACAACCAGAAGTGCCAAAAATCAAACTGCATGGAACTCCAATAACCAAGGAATTAAAGAAACAATCAACCAAAACAACTAGGCCAGTAAGGCAGTGGACAGAGAGAACACATGGTGAGGCTTTGGACCATGCGGGCAGAGCTGGCTGAACTGGAAACCCAACTCAGAGTTGACTGTGGACTAGGGCAGCTGCACGGGGGGAGAAAGTCCCAGTCTCACAGGAGAGTTCATTGGAAAGTGGGGCTAGAGACAAGCAGGGAAGCAGCACTGTTCCTTCTCTGGCCCCTTGCCCACAGGCAGCTTGGCAACACAGCAAAGAGGGTTGCCCTGCCCTGGTGAATACCTAAGCCCCCCTCTTACAATCTAATAGGTGCCCAGAGACAAAGAAATAGTCCCAAATGAAAGAAAGAGCAAAACTTCAGACAGAGAGCTAAGTGATGAGGAGATAGCCAACCTACCTGATGGAGAATTTAAAGCCTAGGTAATCAAAATGCTCACAGAACTGATTGAGCTTGGTCAAAAAATGAAAGAACAAATTAAAGACATCCAAAATGAAATAAAGCAAAACATTCAGGGAACCAACAGTGACAGGAAGGAAACCAAGATTCAGATCAATGATTTGGAACAAAAGGAAGAAATAAACATCCAACTGGAACAGAACAAAAAAACAAGAATTCAAAAAATGAAGAGAGGCCTAGGAACCTCTGGGACAACTTGAAATGTTCCAATATCCGAATTATAGGGGTGCCAAAAAGGAGAAGAACAAGAGCAAGAAATGGAAAACCTTTTTGAACAAACAATGAAGGAAAACTTCCCCAATCTGGTGAAGGAAATAGACTTTCCAGGAAGTCCAGGAAGCCCAGAGAGTCTCAAAGAAGTTAGACCCAAAGAGGAGCACACCAAGGCACATCATCATTAAGTTACCCAAGATTAAAATAAAGAGAAAATCTTAAAAGCAGCAAGATGAAAGGAGAGAGTTCCCTACAAAGGAGTGCCCATAAGGCTATCTGCTGATTTCTCAAAAGAAAGCTTGCAGGAAAGAAGGGGCTGGAAAGAAGTATTTGAAGTCATAAAAATGACTTGGATAATCCAAGTACATCCAAGATTATTCTATCCAGCAAAGCTTTCATTTAGAATGGAAGGGCAGATAAAGTGCTACACAGATAAGGTCAAGTTAAAGGAGTTCATCATCACCAAGTCCTTATTATATGAAATATTAAAGAGACTTATCTAAGAAAAAGATAAAAAATATGATCAGTAAAATGCAAACTCACAACTATCAACAAATGAACCTAAAAGAAAAGAAAAACAACAAAAACAAAAACTAAGCAAACAACTAGAACAGGAACAGAATCATAGAAATGGACATTACATGGAGGGTTTTCAGTGGGGAGGGGGAAGGGAGAAATAGGCAAGAAAAGGTACATGGAAGAAGAAGCATAATTAGTAGGCATAAAATAGATGGGAAGAGGTCAAAAATGTATAGGAAACAGAGGACTCAAAGAACTTATATGTACAACCCATGAACATGAGCTAAGCAGGGGGATGCTGGAGGGTTGGGAGATGCAGGGCAGAGGGGGGATAAAGGGGGAGAATTGGGAAAACTGTAATAACATAATCAATAAAATATACTTTAAAAAGAAAAAATTTGGCTGTACCTAACAAAATATAAATTGCCTGATAGTTTTGCTTCATTAAGAAATATACATGCATAAAGTTGTATGTACAAATATGCTTTTGTTAGAGTTGTTTGTAATGGTGAAAAACTAGAAACTAATCCAAAGTTTCATCATTCAATCAGTAGCTAAATAAATTGCCACAATGAATTTCAAGGAATATTTGTCCAAGTCTGTAGATCAGTACCTACCAGCACAGCAATGTAGTCACAATAAAATTAAAATGCATATCATAAGAAAGTAGTCACATTATGATTCCAGTTTTGACAGAGAGATAGAACATTATGGTTTGAATTGTGCTCCCCCAAAACTTCATAAAGTCCTAGCCCCCAGTATTTCAAAATGTGACTTTATTCAGAAATAGTGTCATTGCAGATGTAATTAGTTAAGATGAAGTCATTAAGGCGAGCCCTAATCCAATGTGAATGGTGTTTTTATAAAAAGGGGAAATTTGGACACAAGCAGACACAAACCAACTTGGGAGGTACACCATGGAGACATGA